TGGGGGAGGGTGGTTGGGGAATGAAGAAGTGGGACATTTTGTGTAAGATAGAATCTTAATTCCCGAGACAGGGTGACAGGTAGGTGGGGGCAGGTGGGGACTTTCCACTAATAGGAAGATGGGTGCCTGTCTCACTGGACATGCTGCTCCGAGGGCTTTCTGGGCAGTCTAGGAAACACATACAGATAGCAACAAGAGTTGGCACTGACATGTCAAGAAGTAGGTCCCTGAGGATATGGTCTTTTGGTCCTGATGACACATCATTCTGAGACAGTTCGTTATGGAGCTCATCAGAACAGACCCAGATGCTAAAGGTCAAAGGCAAGAAGAGGAGGACACAGGGAGAGGGTTATCTATTTGTCTTTCATGATTTGTCATACTGTCTTCTAAGCCATGCTCTGAGTTTGAGCATTATGGATATAAATTACAAGGGGAAAAAGATCAATACCAAAGCAATTCCTGGTATCCAATTGCTAGAAAGTTTCTGCTGATTTTGGGGAAAATAAGATTTGCTAGAGCACAGGAGGATTTTTATGCGTATGTTAGTGGAAAAACAGCCACTCAGCATGTGTACTTTGCTTAATGTTCTTTTAAAGGCTGGATGACATGAGAGGTATTTCTACTCTACTTGGAAAGATAGCGTGGGCTCCCATTTGCATTAAGCACCTCTGATTTGAAAGGAGAGCTGGGTATATATTCCAGGAAGTTGCTGTAACTAACCAAAACATCACTGGTGATTTGCAATAGCAATCTGTAACTGTGCTGCTTGAATGTTTCCATACAACAAACTCAAGTCTACTGGGGAGGAAGGGTAATTTTCAATCCCACCGATGTGTTGACTCTAGTAGAAAGTGTAGGGGTGGAGCTGAGATTTATGCCTGGTTGTAAGTAAACCAAGTGGTATGAACCCTTTGTTGTCTGTTAGTAGAGTATGAGTCTGTATATGGAAAGATTTTTGACATTAAAATACACCAAGAATGTCAGAGATGATATTGGTTGTCAGTTGCTTTGGAGTCAATTCTGACTCACAGTGACCACGTGTTGCAGAGTAGAACTTCCCCAAAGGGTTCTTAAGACTGTGACCTTTTGGAGGCTGATTGCCTGATCTGTCTTCCAAAGTGTCTCTATGTGGTTTGAACTGCCAACTTTCAGCCACAGAGTGTTACCTTGTTATGTGAAAACCTAAGGTAATTTGAAAGAAAACCTAAGTAAACATTAATCCATAAACTTAAACAGACGGGAGTCAATCAGAGTCTAAATAATGTCCTATCAGATCACCATCATTCATCACACAAACCACTCCCTTCTAGTGTGCAGGCTATGGATACTAAAGATATGTTGTACCCATTTGTCATTAAGACGATTCTGACTCACAGAGCAGAACTGCCTCAGAGGGCTTATCAGGCTGTAATCATTTCGGAAGTAGATGGTTACACCTTTCTCCCACGGAGTGGCTGGTGCGTGTGGACCACTGACCATTAAGTTAGCGTCAGAATGCTTACTCACTGAGCCACCAGGCCTTCTGAAGACAGAGTATATCCACCCCAAAATGAATAAGGTTAATGAATCAGTAGGTTGACATTTTGTTGGCAGAGATCACAACAAAGGACTGTCTTGGGCATTTTTGTGTCAAAGGTGAATTCACAGGTCTTTCTTATAGCTGAAGACACCAAACGGCTTCACTCCTAGGAAAAACTACTAGCCCATCCCAGAGCTGAGCACTCGAAATTCAACCCCATAGCGCACTGGGGGACATACTCACCAGCCTCTCGGGTCGTGTTTCGGCTTGTTGGCTTGGGTGGAGGGATGGGCGCCTGCTTACCAGGAGCCTTGGCATTTTTTTTAATGGGAGGCACTTCATCACCCTTGTGGCTCACCCCAGCAGTGGCCCCTTTTGGAGGCACAGGTGACTTTTTGGGGTTGGGTTTGGGTTTAGGCTTAGGAGGAGCTGGAGGAGCCGGAGCAAAAGCTGCTGGAGGTTCAGAGTGGTTTTCAGTGTTCTCTACAAATGAGAAAGTGAACAGAAACAGACTGATACAGACACACACCATATACATAACAAAGAGAGAGACATATGGCAACAGTGATACAGACATGCAGCTGCTTAACCCTTGGGAACCAGCACAGGATTCTGTACCAAGAGAGCACAACATGGGCTAAAAACACTAAGGCTGAAAGCCAAACTGGGGTGTGTTCCCAGGTACTTTGATAAGAGGATTATGGATGTTACTTTGATGAAATTATGATGAGGATGAGTGTAAACAGCCACAAGGTTGGGCCTGAAGCCAGCCTTGAATCAGTGGCAATTACAGGATGACTTGGGCATAATGCTAAATTTAAACTGCAGAAATGTAACAATTAAGCGAAAGACAAGGCCTCTGAGATGGAAGATCAGTATGTTACACACTGATGTGTGGGACAAGGACCGGCAGAGGAACAATGACTGGATTCACAAAATCATCTGCCTGACTTTCCCGGAGACTCCCACACTGTCAGGGGGAGCCAAGCCAGTCCACCTGAATGGGATCTATTCTTAGTCTCAGGAGGTCAAAATCTACTTTCAAAGTGGAGGTAAATGCTATAGAAAAGCTTTTACACGGGGCGTAGAAAACAGGATGAACTATTTTCTGCTGCTAGAATGTTACAGTAACTGCTTCTGAGTTTTTCAAATAATGCCGAACTACAGTTATTGTGGGCTCACATTCAAAACGATTAAACATGTTTTGTAATAGAAGCACAAATAATGATTCTGAAAAAGAAAGGCTCAAAATTCATAATTAAAAAAAAAAAGCCTAAGACTGGAGGGGAAATGGCGTTAAGCTCCCACTGCTGAAAGTGGAGATGCCAAAGGTTCATTCCTATCTTCACATCTGCGCTTTCCTAGAACTGACTGATTATAATGAAAATAAATCCCAAAAGCTCAATAGCATTTCTTTAAAACTGGAGCATACTTAAAACATAATACAGTGCTAAAACAAAAAGAAGCCCTGAGTGGATGTCTGCTGTCATTATAGAATGTTCTTAAAAAGGGTTTTAACACTGGAATGGGTCACATTTTATTATTACAACCAGAATGTGTGTAAGGTGGAAACCTGTCGGAGAAGGAAACAGAATATTTTCCTTGAGTGGTAGGAAAGTGGGAAGACAGCAGCCTGTCCAAAGCAGAAAACCCAAGAGATCTAGAAAGACAAGGCAGGTCCTGATGAGTTCTGACTCTCTATGTATATTTGAAATTTCATGTCTTATTCTGGTGACTGTGAAGACTTTGCCTTTGTACCACACCCCATTAATCTACATCTAAAATTACCATAATAATGATGTGATCAATAAACTTTTCTTTTAAAGTTCATCTTTTATTTCACGTCACTGAGGAAATCCTCCCCAACCATGCAGTCCAAATCAAACTGTCTCACGTCTGAACTTATTACTACTAACCGATGGTGCCACTGATGTAACATTTACCAGAGGCTACTTAGGAGTCCTGGTGTGGTGCTGTGGGCTAGTGTGTCAGACTGCAAAGTCATTTAAACTGCAAGGTTGGTAGTTCAAGCTCACCAGCTGCTCCTTCAAAATCCTCTACAGGGTTGCTATGGGGTTGAATCAACTTGACAGAACTTAACAACAATTTAGTGTTTTGTCTGTTTGCACATATTGTAAGTTGCTTCTCATTTCAGTAAAGGAGGGGCTCTCTGCATCCAGCTGGTCTGAACCATGAGGCAAGATAATTACAGAAGTCAGTCAGAGTTGAGAATAATTCAAATTTATGCATTTGAAGTAAAGCTTATCAATATACACTGATGTGCCAATCTTTGGAGGGAGGGCAGGGGTTTTTTCTGTGCATGCATCTTTGTAACTTTAGCTCCTAGCACGGAGATCAAGCACATTAATACTTGTCCAAGGTGAGAGTCAAACAGTCAACCTGTCCTGCGACACTCATGCATCCCAGCTCCTGGTCAGACCACAAACCCTCTACATGCCTTATCCTTTGCCCTCATACCATATTGCCAAAGGATCATTTTCCTTTCTGCTTAAGGTTTTCAATTCTACAGTTGTATCTGCAAATATATCCAGCTTCTGGGTTTGGGAACGAGCAGACCATTTTCTCTATGATAGGGTCACTATGAGTCAGAATGGACTCAAGGGCACATAACAACAACAACAACAAACATAAAATCAAAGGTCCCTAGGCGGTACAAGTAAGGAGTCCTGGTAGTAGAGTAAGGCTGCTAATCTTCAAGGTCAGTGTTTCCACAGGAGAAAGATGAGGCTTTCTGCTTCCATAAAGATTTACAGCCTCAGAAACCCTATTAATGGGTCACTATGAGTCTGAACCTACTCCACGGCACTCTACCACCACCGATTTACCAAGCATGATATCCTTCTCCAGGGACTGGTCCCTCCTGATAATATGTCTGAATGTATTATTATAATGAGTCACACTTGTTTATGATATAGTATTCTCTTGGTGTGCTGTTGAATTAAATTTGTTCACACTGTACATATATTCCTCACTTATCAACAATTTCATTTATCTAACATTTCATATTTCTAACAATGGCAAAAAACAAAACATAAAAAAGCCCAACGATTTTTCCCATTAACAATGTACATCTATCTGGCAGTAATGAAAGCCAAGATGTGAGGTGAAAGTAACGCTGGTTGGCTGTGATAGTTAATTAAGGTTGTGTGGCAACTTGGCTGGGTCATGAAGCCTAGCGATTTAGCAGTTATGTAATGATAGTATTTGGCAATTACGTAATGATACTATTTGGCAGTTATGTAATGATGCAGTCATTCTCCAGTTTGTGATCTGAAATGCTCATCCTTCATTTCTGCAGAATGACCTGGTCTCTTGGACCTAACCATGTCACTAAGTCAGGAGCACGTATATTAACTTTTTGAAATGAGGTTACAAAAGAGCTGCCAATTCATTATGATTTGATAAGAATATTATGTTTCATAGCAGTACAGACCAGAAGAGAGATGTTTACTGCCTTTCCATGTTTGGCTCCTTCTTCGACAGGAAGGAATTACTTCAACAACACTGAGAGGAAGTCTGAGAACCACATGGGTTATTCTCTCTGCCATGCAGTGGTGGATTTACACAGTAATGAACCCAGACACGAATGAAATCAGAAAAGGATAAGAAGTAATGTGTTTTCAGAATTACATGATGTCCTTCAAGAGAAATAGTTACCTTTGTTTATGAGGTATTATTGTACTTAACATAATTCTGTTGTATTAATTATGAGTAATATTATTTTTACTCAGGAAGTGGATTCCAAGTGCTTCTCCTTATTATCAATGTCATCTATATAAAGATGGCTGTGCTGCCTTATTAATGTGGCAGCCTTTCCATTTCTTATGTATAAAGTAGACAGGCAAGATACTATCTGGGACCAAAGAAAATGGAACACAATCATTCTAGACAAAGAATAAGAAAACAAAATTGCCTCTCAAATATCCACACACCTATAAAGTCTGCCATCTTTTTTTCAGAACATCAAGGCCCTGATGATTTCATTAACATAAAACTTGTCAACAACTTTCTATTAGTCTGATAAGGGGCAGTCTTCCTTTGAAACCTAGCCAGACCAGTGACTGACGCCCACATGACGCAGACAAGCAGTCAAGATGGCTCTGTCACATAATGAAAGATGTGATTCTTGATTGTGAAAAGGAGGTCCCAGGAACACACCACAGATGGATTTGAAACTGAACAGGTTGGAAGGATAGGACATTGTATATGTGTGTGTGTGTATCAGGATTAACATTCTTTTTTCCCACTGAATCCCTCTGAAATATTTTAATATATAATTTCTCTCTTTACATTCTAAGAATATCTTTAAAACATTAGTTAA